AAGTTGTGCGTTTGCGATGTGTAGACGTTCCGTCGAACTAAGTCTTGTATACGGATGATATTGCGCCGTCGTTTCTAGTCTGATAAAATCCATCGCCATATTTATCAAAAAATTACGAACCCAGTAGATACTGTTCTGGCGTTAAGATACGCCATTACATACCACCTGTGGCCACTTAAATATCTACGTATACTATTCATGAGTTCCTTGAACATGTACAGCGAATACGCACAGAAATAAATACTGGTTGATATTACTTTGAGCGATATTGTTAATTGTGAATTTCTCAAATAATATGAATTTTATATTTGAATAAACATTAAGTGAAGAATAATGTATTTTAACACTATTCAAACCATATTGTTTGAAAATAATTAATAATCTTTTGCTGAGGTCCGTTTATTGGTCGATTATATTCAAATATTTTGAGAAATAGACTTTCCTGCAGATTTATTAATACTTTAAGCAAACCTTGGTGTCTTCTTCGCTCGGACTCTAGACGTTAATCCATTTCTTAGCATAAACAAATACCACTCAAATCTTTATTATTTAAGAAAAGTTAGTATCAAACAACTTTATTTTCTTGACTACTCCATCTTTAAACTTGTTATTTTACAGCTATAATTGCCCCTTTAAACTCTACATCAATGTGTTGGAAAAGCTCTCAATATATTCTGGTTCATCAAGCATAACACAGATCTTTACTTACTTCCGCTTCCTCTTTCCGCACTTTCCAAATCAGTTTAATACGTTCGATTCTTGAGTATGAGGTTGTCGTTTGGTATTCACATCTATTTTGTGATCAAGTGAAAATTGAGTAAATTGAGTCTAAAATATTTTTCTTTTGTTAGATGCTTTTTTAAAAAAAAATTGAACACCCACCGAACGATAACCTTAATACGTTCTACCCGTGATATTCCATTGTTTGTTTTACGACGCAATACTGCAGATATTGTGTTCATTGATTCACTTATTAACGGTACTCTCAATATATCAGATTTATTAGCCTCTGTTTTCTTTAAGATTTATTCCAACCCACGAGGTATTAATTTCTATTTTCAATCACGATTCATATTGCCTTCTACGAATACAACCAACCACTTCATAGAATATATACCGGTTTAACCATATCTCAGTTTCGTATCATCTTCATCTATTTTTACTTAATTTATAAATTCCAGATTATCTATTTCTTTAATGCTCCTTGGGGCATCCAATAATCAAATAAATAAATTAATATAAAAACATTAATAAACATTTTATTATTTCAACTTTTTAATATAGTAATTTTGAATATAATCTTTTTTTAATATAAAACTATTTTATCTCTAAAATTAAATTTAATGTTACGGAGTATTAATTATCTCGACAATCTATAAAAGTTTTTTTTTTCATTTTGACCGTGGTTTAAGTTAGAATTTGAAATTTTTCTTGTAATTTCAATTATAATAGTGTTGATTCAATCAGAAGTACGGATTATTTCACACTTTAGTCGCTGCCATTTTGAAAATGGTCCAATTTCGTTAAGATTTAAGTCCAAACATAGGGTTTTAAAACCATTTACAAGTGTATTACCCTATTATTTAAACCCTAACTATTTCTAAGCATATTATCTTCAGTTACAAATGGCCAATCGTGCGTGTAATGCGCATCTAGTGTTCACCTGTGAAGGTCTATAAATTTCTAAGTAATAAAACATCGATTGAATAATGTTGGCGTGATTGCCAAGTCCTTAAAAATAGCGAGCAATCAATTTTAAAAATATTCACTAGACTTACTTAAAAAAATTCAACAATGAGAACTCGAATAAATTCACGATTCAAGCAATTCAACTAAGAGTCAAGCATACTTAAAAATATATAACTTATACTCGAATAATGAGGAAAAAAATATTATTATTAACGGCTATACTATATTATTATTAACAAATGAATAAATAGTAACGAGAGAAAATAATAATTTTTAATCGTGAAATTTTACCATTTGGATTGTGTAACTCGCATAAATCCATTCCGATTACCGATTATACGTATTATATTTATATAATACTGCTTATCAGTAGAAACTTGATAATACACTGTTTATCTTGTATAAACTCTATGCGTCTATACCACGTCATAATATTCTAATTATTTCAACTTCATGGAGTTACTTACCATGTCTCGCGTGCAGATTACATTATATTTTATTGCACATATTCATCAATGCTATAATAACAGCGTTAATATATGCAATAAATGTGTGAGTTCTCAGGGGATCCCAGACCACCATTCCTAGTATGCTACAACATCCCGAGTTCCCAGACCGAAGCCACACAACCGTCATTATTCAAGACAAGTGAAATACAGACTGTCGATGTGAGATAACTAGGTATTTGACTACTGAAGTCTGACAACAACGTTCTATTTATGTATATTTATAGAGCTTCAATATTATTATTACAATAATAACAGTAATTATTTTTATTATTATACGCTGTATTAATGAGCGATTATAAGCTACGAGACAAATCGAACTTGTCACGAATTCTAAACGACACGGGTTTGATGCCCCATATGTATACAACGCGATCAAGACATTTTAAATATCGGAAGATCGCATTTTTCCTTTTTTGACGCTCGAATGACAAATATTTTACGCGACTGTCATTGCTATAATGAACGCATATAATATGCCTCATCCAGTCAATATAATTTGGAGTAATCGAAGAAATACAAACGTTTTTCATGTACTAATATTTCATCTAGTAAACTATTATTGTGTTAGTTATATCATAATAGAGTCATGAGACTATTTATTAAACTACTAATTATATCAGTTTTAACGCTGAGTCAAATAACATAAGTCTAAGATGACAATTTCCAATTTATATTTTATCATTTTTCTGTGAATTTTTAGTGAACAGATATAATACAAACATTGCATTAACATTGCCTAAAAACTAGGACATAATAAAAAACACATTTTTAAAAGCATTTACATCGTTGTTATCTCAAGCCATACACATTTGCCATGTATATTGTATGTATACTTGAAATTATTTTTATCTGGAACAAAATAACCGACTTAGATATATTTATTTTTCTAAAAAAAAAAAAAAAAAAAATGGGATAACTTAATAGCTAAATTATATTAATCCATTACACAAGAATAATTTGTGGATTTGATAAATATCGCTGTATTTATAACGTATTATATTATTTTATAACAATTTATTAAGGTTAACAATCAATTAATGATTTTTATGACGGTTGTTCTGAAAATTATACGTCAATGTCCAATAAAAAAAGAATAATAATAAAAATAAATAAATATACGTTTTGTTATAAAAAAAAAAAATTAAAATCTTAAAAAATTTTTTTACGAAACTTAGTGTTTGTAATATACAACTTTTATCGTCTTAACATCACATATTTTATAAGTACTCCATCTAATCGATTAATATAACACCAGCACATTGAAGCGTAACAGACTTTATTGACAATATTTTCCAGATCAAAACACATAATAAAATATGACAAATCTATTTATTTTTATTAACATTTCACAGACAAGTAAAAACTAAAAACTTATTCTTAAACTGACTACTACACGAGAACATATTTTACGTAATTCTACAGTATACATATTGTCTTAGCCTCGCAAACACATGAGATAATAAGGGATAATATTTTATTTAACATAATATTCATATTATTCATAATGGTATAGTTAAGAAATAATATATAGAAATTTCGACGAAATCAAAACAAAAAAAAAATAAACACTTTTTTATCTTGTACGACGTGTTTTAGTTTTATATTAAACAGTATAATGTAATCCTATTATAAAAAACCTATTTATTTTAGAGATCTTTATCGTAGAATGCGTAACGAAATTAATTCACATTTCCCCAAATACATCACGTCACTATCTAATAATAATATTATCCAGTGCAGTTACTATCTTTAAACACATTATTCCTAGTCGGCGTAATGATTAGGCAATATAGGTACATGGCTGTGACGAACACTGTAGATTGTCGAATACGTTTTAAACCCCGACATTCAACTTGTGATATCATGTTTGTTTAAGGTTATTATTTTTTTTTTTTCAAAGATCCACTCGATATATAATTTGTACATTTTTTAAACCAATTATTTGGAACGATCATATTATTATAAGCAATAAATTAAAATCAAACAACGGTATCGCGTCTGATATATACGTATTGTATTACTAGAAAAAATATCGATAAGCGATTTATCCAGGAACCTAACCTTAGGCGATGACTTCTGACCGTTTTTTTAAGTATTTTTCTGCAGAATCGACATATTATTATCGGAACGGATATATGCGTTTTCTGTCCAATCACATGTTCCGCCATGCGTTAAATGAATACGATATTTAACAGATCGATACGAGTAACAATAATATTAATTACCGAAATTACCGAATAATAGTGGTGGTTACAGTCGCTACAGTTAAAGTGCTTTTAGATGGTCCAGATACCTCGAAAATATTGACCAGATTGACGGTCGTCTCGAAATGATGAAAAACGCATATTCGAGAGCTGATCTGAGTTCGTACTGAGAACGACTGCGTAGTGCGTACGAACAATTCGGACAGTGGTTAATTACAAATGTATTAAATCTATAATTTTAACTAAACCTAAATTTCTGAAAATGTAACGCGATAGTGGTCAGTCGAGCGACGCACTGAGGCTTCTAAATTAAAAACAAAATCCAATTGACGCGCCCATTGTGTTCACAAATCGATAAATGCGGAAATGTTCTTGATCTTAACGTATAGCGTTTCAAATCAAGCCTTTTAGTAGCATAATTGTATTTAATGAGACATTATTATTTACGATTAACACAATCATATTATGGGACAACCACTCGTTGTTGTCGTCGTGAACATGAAAGTCACACCAACATGTTTTCACCGATACATTCGATAAACATACAACATCGTTACTAATCACGTGCGCATTTTAACAACAATAATATAATACTCACCCCTTGTCCGGCGGCACCTTGTGTGCGGGCACAGCGGACGGCGGCGACGATGTCTGATTGTTGGTTGACAGCGCCTTGTACCGGGCCTGCTGGTCGGTGGGCAACACGATGTCCACCGAGCGGGACCGGATGTTGTTGTTGCTGCCCGGCTGCCCGCAGTTGGGATCGAGCAGCAGCTGCGTGGGTGACACGGGCACCACTTCTTCCGGTTTGCCGGCGGGCGTGGGCTTATTGATGAAGCACGAGTCCATGCTGGCGGCCCGGTCGCGCTTCAGATCTGGTACGGTGAGGAACAGGTCGCGGACCACTGCTGGGTCGGCCGAGTCGTTCACCGCGAACGCTTCCTGTCGCTCCAACTTCGGCGACGTGATCGACCGCCGCCGGTTTCCTTGCAGGTACTCTTCCGGTGGCGTCAGCTCCAACGTAAGCTGGCTCTTGACACATACGTCTGCCAGAGACTCGGGTGACGACAACGCGTGACCGCCGCCGCCATCTACGGACAATAAATCGGCCTCCACGGTGACAGTAATCTGACAACTACGGTCGTCCTCGTCATCCATGTCCTCGCTGGCCGACGTTGACGCTAACGATCTCTGACTGCGTTCAAACAATAACACACACACACGCGTAGGTCAGTCTCGGCCAATGTCCGTCGTCCACCGAATAACACTTGTCGCGGTGCACTTTTCGACCATCCCCTCAACACCCTTATTTTTCACCACCCCAGGTCCATCATCTTATGAAAGAAAATACTTGATATTTATCGCAATCCCACACCCACGTTTGATATCCAAACAATGCTGTTTTTATAGATTCGGAATCAATATTGGCTGGCTATTATAATATATATATATATGTATTATTTTTAGAGATCGGGGAGGAGTAGAGTTCAAATAATAAAATGGATCGGCGGAGTCCTCGATATCGAAATCTAATTTCTAAAACTTTGTTATCGTAATGATTATATTATTGTCTTATAAAAACTTATTTTTTTTTATACACTGGAACTCGCGGTGCGATCAAAACTTTCGTTTATTGCTGTTCCTTGCAGAAAAAAATTGTTTGTTTGTTTAGTTCTTCTACTTAACACAAAACGACGTTTATTCACCACGTTTATTCGTGTGAGTAAAATGTTTATATTTTATATCATAAAAAAGTTCCACTTAGAATAGAATTAAAAAATTAGTACCGTTTATTGTGAAAGAAAGGTAGTCTCGTAGCGTGCATATTTTCGTTAACGAACAGAAATTTTCGTATGATTTTATTATGGATGGCGGTGTACACGTGGCAGCCCTGACAACAATGGTAATATTATCTAATGATTGGGTGTTGTTGAGTGGGGTGGGGAATCGATATTATTATACTACTACATGTTATTTAAGAGACCGAGTGCAATCAAATATGTTCGCGTTTTTAATATTATTATTATTGAGTTATGCCCACTGAATAATATAAAATATTGTCGTGTACTGAATGCGCTGCCGACACAAAATTAATTTTCACCGCTGATAACATCGTACGGAATTTTTATATGAACGGCACGTCATGTTCGACCGGAACAACGAAGACGGCGTGTCGGCCGAAAGAACAGAAATAACTCAAAATATTAATGACGATAGAGGTTTATATTATATGTATACAGTACTTGTACCTATATATACGAAATAGTATTTTGCCGAATATTTGTCATCGTGATTTGGTATTCAGTTGGCGTAGGTAATGATAATAATATATTCTACGTCTTTCGTCGTTTTAATAAAATAAAAGTCTCAGACAATGTCAGTATTTAATGTAAATACATATTTTACATTATTATAAAACTGGACATACTTCTGAAAAATAATATTGAAAAATACCAAAATTTCACAACATTCCATGTTCGTGGATTTTCTCAAAGCTAGATTTTACGCGTCAATAAACAAATTTAATAAATATTTGAGAAATTAATTTCGCGTACATTTCCATAGTTTTGAATTGATCATATAATATCTGGATATCTACTTTAGATAAAAAAACGATACTGTCAGACCTATTGAGTCTCGGTTTAAATATAATATGCATTACATTTTTTTATAAACGTATCTTGCAAATTTTAATTGCCAAATATATATTATCATTTTTATATAATTAAAAAATGATTGTCAATCACAGTTATTAACAATAAAGACTATATAGAGTTATGAAAATTCGAATCATAGGTTGTTATGAGCAATTATTTTCAAAATTATTGAACTCGTTATGCATATAAATATATAGTACAAACTGTATTCATATTACCATAATCAAAATAAATAGAATTTAGAATAACCACTCGGGGCACAGACAGAACAATAGTAAGTTTTTAGTCTTATTACCGACATCTGAACATGATTCCTCCGAATTTAAAAGAAATATATATACCGATCCGTGCAGTAAACTTGCCACGTTTCCTTATTCCCGTTTCTTGATCAACCATCCGTTAACGCACCCTACATATCAACTGAGGCCATACTCACATGCCGCGGGACTGTGCACCCGATAACAATAGATTGATATCGTGCGCGGCAATATAACACACGCTGGAGACCTACCCTCTACTCTCAACCCTATCTGTGTCCGCTGTCAATGCAGGATTATCCTCTTGTCGTGACCGTCGTCAACGTCTGAGAAAATACGATGAATCATTTTTAGACGTTGAAAAACATTTTTATTGATAATAGCTTCTTATTAAACTGTAGCCAACAGACTATAATATACGGTATGTCTGAGTTGGGTCTCGGACGACATTGGGGGTGATAACAGGTAACTTACTAGTCAGATCATGGATTATTTTAGTCACTACACCAGTTTGTTATAAAATTTTTTTTTTTTTTTTGGTTTTAAGGTACTAAACAGTCTAGCGTTATTCGTAATATCTAGAATACGGTCAATTTGGCGCAGGAAGATTTTCCGCATGTGACATTCTGTCGCATTTTTTTACCTGATGCAACACGCGTCGAAACGCATAAATGGTTAAACTCTCATCACTGTCGCGTATTTTTATCATTCGTCATTCAGTAATTAAAGTATTATTATAAGCATTCGAAATCATGGAATGTCAGAGTACGTCTTGCGTTCAAAACGTTATAGCTTTATGCATGATTTAGGTACACTCGAACGTCTGGAGTGTAATCACATAATTGCTAGAGCTAACTAATAAACTATAATGACTATCCGTTTGTAATATCAATTGTGTGTATTCGTCTCGACTAGATATTTTTCGATTATAAAAATATTAAAAAAAATTCGAATCGATACACAATTTCAATTCTGTCTTCTCGTCAAATACCTAAACGAATTTGGGTCGGTTTACTCGAATAAAATTACATTTGTCAAGGATAATAATGTTGAAAATATCGGTAGTTTATCTCGTGGAAATATAATTTAAGGGTAGATCAAAAATCGAATTTACGATGTTATTATCAATAGTAAAAAAAAAAAAAAAAAAAAAAAAAAAAAATGATAATAATAAAGTTACCATTTCAAACCGAGGAAATCGTTGCGAACAATACCACTACATATATACGTTATTAAAAATAAATTTTTGGCGTGTAATCATCCGGTTCACCTCCCAGCGGTGGCGTTCTCTGAGCAATACGGTTCAATTTAAACTCAAACACGCGTGGGCGTTACATGATATTATGCGTACGGTGTAAAGATAATTTTGTTACTCGTCAACGCCTACGAATCGTATATATTTCTTGCGGGAACAGCACTCGGGACATTGTTCGGGTTAGGACGCATTTGGAAGACCTCTCGAAAATTCACGCGACTCAAATAGTAGGCGTATACAATACCAGTGCAACACTTAAGATAATCCCGGACCCGACCGGTGTGTACTGGGTACCTATGTATAAAAACCGCTCGGGACCCAATTAGTGTACGAAATATATAAATATGCCAAATTTCAGTCCCTCCCTCCCCCGTTCGATTGCAGCGATGATTTGATGCGATCGTGCACTGCGAGCCGGGCGCGCTCTGTCGGTGGTCGACGGAGAGACGACGTGGAAAACCGATGTGGGAAAAAAAAACAAAAATCACAAACGCGTGACCGCGTCGCCAATACCTATGGTTCTCTTCGCCGGACGACGACCTGTTCATCTTGGACAGCTCCTCCAGATAGGCGCAGTGGACGCAAGACGCGGCTGCCGGCACCTGCCGGACGACCGCCGCCGGTGGAACAGCTGGTGCTCGACTACCCCAGGTAGACGCCCGTCGTCCGGTCGCCGCCTGCGCTGGCCGCGGCGGCTGACGACGAAGCTCCGGACCGCTGTCCGAGCCGCCGGCGGGCACGCAACGACGACGTGGACGCCGCGTGACCGCCGCCGCCGCCCGGCGCTCGATCTTGCGCGCGTCATCGTCCCGCTTGGAGCACCCTAACTTGATCTCGTCGAACGACACCGACCGCACCTGTTTGGGCACTTCCAGACTGTTCTGCGTCTTCATCTCGGCGCCCGTCGGCGTCCGCGACCGTTTGAACGTCGAACGCAGACGGTCCATGACCGACGTTAGGTTTGCCGTGGCGCCTATACAATAGTATATATATATATATATGCACACGTGGGTAACGCGACTTGTTCGATCGACTGCGCCGACCGACCGATACGAACCGTTGCGGTCTGAAATCCGGTCGTCGGACTCAAAAGTCGGAGTAAAACGTGACGAAAATAAAATAACAATAATTTCAAAACAATCGCTTCAAACGCACCTGTTGTGTGGAATGGGCCGAGAGGTGTGGTCAATTACACAAAATACATAAACGTTGGTCATTGTATTGCATCCCTATTATTGCCACCGTGCAATGTACGAGTGTTAGGTGCTTAACGAGCGGACGAAAATAATGATTGTTTATGTCGGTCTTGAATATTGTGTTATCATATTATTTTCCTTTTTCATCTCCTCCCTTTCGCCCGCGGCGTACACGTCGGGTTTCCGCTTGAGCAAGGTCATCCGAACGTAAAATTTCCCATTGTATACCCGGTGATATTATTTTCAAACAGCTGCTTCCACCCTTTTTTGACCCACTTTCGATAACGCGTAAGCCGACGTCGCGACACATCGGAAAGGATCTATATTATAAGGGATAGCGTCACTTCGTATTTCTTTTTACTCCCACCGCGCTACATTTAACCGAATACCTACCTATATTTGTTTCGGTTTACGAATTGTTAATTATATATTAACTCACAGCCATTAAATTGCATAACATCGACTGTGGTAACACGCTGTCGAACCAAAACTGAAAATATGTGCAGGTATTTGCTTTATTACATTATTATTACAACGGCAATAAATTTTGGTATACCGTTGACCGTTAAATTGTTTTTGAATCGGTTTACAACAGTGGCCACGAGAGAAATTTCGATTAACTACCTATCAATAATTTTGCTTAATGCGAATTCACGTGAGTTTTAAAACAAAAACGTATTTTCTATGTTTTGTATCATAGATGTTGTGTTCGGATAAATTAAGTGTGTTTACTTAATGCATGATACAAAATTACTTCAACGATTTGAAGTGTTTATTAAAACATTTTTAAGTTTATCTTAAGATTCCTACGAATATTATTATTATATTTATATTTATTATTCCCGTTTTATTACATATTATTATTGTACATTATTAATTTAATATTTACATAATACTTATATTATTTTGAAAATTTAGAGAATTTCTTTCAACAATTTTTTTTTCTTTTTTAGCTTCATGTAATCCAACTAATTGGCATTTTTGAATGCAAAAAATAAAATAAAATACATTTAATATAAAAATATGGAGTTAAAATTAATGAAATAAATTTCCGAGTATAATATTATGTCTGTGAACTATTATTAAAAAATAGCAAAAAAAAAAAAAAATAAATACTTCGAAACTCAATTGAACTGTAATTATAATTACCTTTACTACCAATAATTGACATAATACTAATATAATAACACAAATAAGCGATAAATTATTCAGAAATCAATTTCATATAATATTTTAAATTTTTCATGTTTAATATCATCTTAAATACTTATACAATAAATGACGTAGTCTTTAATTTATTATTGCATGTTACCATCATTGATTTTATCTTTATGTAAATAAAATCGCATGATTTTTCTGAATAGACGTGATTGATTTACCGCACCGCGATTCGACGTATATTATTTTTAGCGATATGATTACCGGTGAGAAATAAATTCGTGTTTATACGTTATTATTATTATCCAGACGTATAAATATTGAACGGGCATACAGACAAATGCGATTTTCAGGTTAATGTGGCGCTTTAATTAATCGTCTAGAACGCCTTGGTATTCCGTCATTTTTATTATAACCCTGCGTTCGGTTTATTGAGTATACGAAATACATAATATGCGGTTGAAATAATGAATTAGTAGGGGGGAACGGTTGAGAGATATAAACTATTTATAGGATTTAACGACCTGAGTCAACCGGCGCGCTAAGACCCATGCTAAAAAAAGTTACTGTTTTTTCAATATTAAAATCGAGAAAAACCATCATTATGAGTTTTTACCGTTGTACGAATATTAAATTCACGATATATACCTAATATTATTTCTATTTTCCGGAGTGCACATGACTTAGTGGATTTTTTACGCGAAGTTACCGTGGTTTAAAAAGTAGTTATCAAAACATAGGTAAACAGATTCTATATATTTGTGTCTTTGAAGCTTTCGTAATCTGACCTGTCATTCATTATTTTTCTCAATAGCCGTATTACATAATGTCTCATAATATTACAATATAATATATTACACATGTACTAACAAGTATAAAATATTTTTCATCAAATGAAAAGCGTTAGCTCTCTATTTATTTTTTTTTTTATTTTTTTTTTATTCAACCGTTTTATACATCTACTGATATTGTTTATAGTTCGAATGAGATGTAACTGCAGTTTTCACACCTGACCAAATATTGTTCAATGTGCGTTTATTCATTTGAGATGTTTAATGCCCGACATCGAAAAATAATTTTGAAAGCGCTCAAATGAAATTCTTATGATACTGATATCGTTTTTAATTTGACAGTTTTATTTATTTTACGGTAGCCGACTTATTACGTCTTTTTTTAACACAACATATTGTGGTAAGTTATATTTTATTTTCAATTTTACACAATCACTGCCACTGGCTACATTTTACATTTTATACTCATTATCTTGCCAATCAAGCCGTCTTTCACCGTCAAATCAGATAATACTAGAAAATTATTATGTGATTATATTACGATATTAAAATAAATGATAAGTTTTACATTTTATCTTACAATGCAACAGTAAATTAATACGAAAGAACCAAATTTTATGAAAAATTAAATCAATAAGTGACACATAGCTGAATTGAAAAATTAAAAAATAACTAATATCCGGTCGAAATTGTATATTTTTGATTTTACTATTGAAATTAATGGAATTCCATTGATTATTATTATAGGGAAATTTACACTTTGAAAGTTCTACACAATCAGATCCAATGTAGTGTATATCTAGTCAAACAGTGTTGCAAGTTAGTCTGCGTATAATATTGAGTATTATACGAAAACGTATGCAATACTAAATTCTATGAATAACGAACATGATATCATATGATATAGACACACGTGTAAGTATGATGTCATAAATTTATAAAATGTATTATAATAATATTAAACACAAAAAATATCACTAACCTAGTTAATTTATAATAGATATATTATACTATATAAATTTACTTAAATATGTTAAAATTTAAGTGACATCGTATTATATATATATAGGTATATATTATATGTATTTTTTTTAAATCAATGGCATACTCCAACTTTCTATATTATTCGAATGCAGTATGAAATTTTCATACAAAAATAACATAATATTGAAGATTCTTGGAAATGCAAGGTAATATATTTCAAGATATTTTATTTATTCGCAAATAGACCTTTTTAAAATTAGGTCGTAAAACGAATGAATAAAATTTAAAAACGATTCGTCGTGTATAGCACAATTATTTATTATAATATCATGGAATGTATTCTGTGTATAAAAATATTAGCTTATTTAAGTTTCTTCATCGTTTATTTGTGCGTAAGTTATGATTTTTTTCGATACGTATGTAGAAAAATTAGGTACATCACCTGAACCTCATTCCCCATAAATGTTTTGGAAATTAAAAATTTCAAATTTATTAATAACTACATAAACACAATATGAATCGGTTAAAATTAAATGTGTTGTGGTCATCCAACACGTACAAGATAATACATATATAATACAATTTACATGAAGAGCAGTTGTATTGATGAGATTTATAAAAACCTAACCGCAGTATTATTGATCCAAATCCAACATACATAAGAGTAAAATATTTCATATTATGAAAAACAATCCCTTCTCGGTTCATATTCGCGATTCTCTCATTTCTGTTTTTATTCAAAAATTTTACGTTACCCACTTGTTATACATTTTTAAATATCATTTGTTGACGGTTTTATATCATTTTCTTAATTTTGATTTTTAATATAACATACATCGTATTATATTAATATAATATTGATTAAAATAATTAAAATGTTGTACAATTTCAATATACCTTTATATGTTTTAGTTATAAAACATAATTTAATAAAAAATACAACAGTAAATAACCATATATAGGTTCATGTAATTTTAAATATATATTTTTTTAAATATTATTCGAATATATATTGGATGTTTAATGCAATTAATTGGGTACCTAATCAATAAAGTGCCGTCAATTATTATTATTCCTGGAGAATTAAGGTAGATACCTACTAATTTGATATCGAAAAATACAAAACATAAATAATTTATTGACTTTCAAATTCCTAATCGATCACTAAGTTTTGACTTTTTATTCAAGTATAATTTAATATTTTTTAATTGGGAACAGTAAAATACTTAATTTTTATGTTAAAAATTGTATTACACAAACAAAGTTATATAGGAAAATAAAAATTTTATAGTGAAAACTCAAAAATTAAAATATTCATTATTATATCGAATAACTTTTATTATATAAATAAAATTTTACATATATATATATAATGTTTGTAGTGTATACAGGTTTTGCTTACGACTGACTTTACACAATAATTGTAAAAAAGCCCCAAAGACATAATTACAAAAAACTTAATTATTTTCAGCTCCCATTGTCATATACAAACATCACGCAAATAATAATTAGTTTGCACTGTAAACAATAATTTATAATTGACTTAATCAGCCGAACACCATTAAGTTTTAACCTGTTAACAGTGCGAAAACCCTTTTGTCCCGGCATGAAATATAAACAATTAACAAAAACGATACTGGACAAATTTCGATGATTAAGCGTTAAGTAAACAATTTTATTGGTACGGAAAATAAATAAAGGTATAATAAAAGAGTTTTATTTTATTTTAGGTACAATATAAAAAATGTATAAAAAGAATATATAAAATGCATAAAATTCACTATAGTGTGTTTTCAATGCACATCTTTGAACATTGAAAAATTGTGACGTATTCCTTGGTACCT